AAAGTGGGCGCCTGTATGTAAGCTAAACCAACCGCACGAAATGTGTACTTTTGATGTTGAGATTCGTGTCATCGCAGGTGGAATGTTGTTGCCACTGACGATTTTTTTGTGTAAAAGGTTTGGTGCTACACTTCAAGAAAAAGTTGGTTAAACTAAATATTTGGGCCAGAAATTTAGATATTAAGAAGGTAAATTTGAAAGTTACTAAAGAAGAGTGTGCCGAAAAGGTATTTTTATGGATTAAAACGGAGTTACAAATCGACTTAAAAATGAAAAATTTTGCCTTGTCAAAGAAACTTTTTCTTGGTTTAACTAAAGCAGTTAGTAGAGTGACTAATTTCTAAGAACTTGATGACCAAAAACCTTATAAAAAAAGGTATTACATCTCATTTATTTCCCTAAAATTCCCCCCAAAAATTTCCCTGCATTTCTCTTAGTGCTAAAAATTTGCTGTCTGCTGACATGTCGCCCGGGGCATCATAATCACTTTGCAACCTAATGCCAGCCTCCCATAGCCCCATACATCTTTCATGCCACAAAAAGAGAGGCGTATTTTCGCAAAGTTTTTGCAGGCAGCTGTCGCGGTTTTTGCCCCTCGAAATGAAGTGCTAAATTATGCTAAATGTGTGACAAAATGTGATTTGAGTGCAGATCAGGTGGCCCTCTTGGCCTCTTCTCTTCTCATTTTATTTACATAAAATGCGATTTATATATATCTTGCGATATATATATATATTCTAGTCAAAGGCTTGGCTGTCGATAATCTGGGTTTGGCTGTCATCTATGGCCCTCGTCATCATTTATAAGGACATCCTTTCTGCTGCCGTTTTGCATTACACTTTTCCTTATCCTTGTCGCGAACAGACTTTCATGTCGTATGAAAACAAATTACTTTCAAGCGAGTAATCTTGCGGGGTTCAGTTCTTTGAGGGGAAAACTCTAAGAGGGGGGCGGTTAAATCTGAGGGGAAAATCAAGGAAAGGCATTGAAAAACTCGCTGGTAGCGAATTTTGATTGCGTCATGACTTCAATTACAGCCAAAGCGCTATGAAAGGTATGCAGCAACAAATTCAGATTTTTCTTGATATTCTTTTCCAGCCCCCCTCCACCCCCTTGATTTTCCTTTTGTGAATGGGAATATCAAGCCCATGACCAACACCCACCATGACTAACCGCACCTCCTGACAAGAATCACTCTAGGAGTATGTATGCGCGCCAAAAAGTATGCAACGAAATGAGCCAACAGAAAACCCCAAGCAAGACCAATCCTTATATAGAAAATCGGGTGCTGCCAGCGGAAATTGAAAGCTTCCGTCGCGAACGGTCGATGTTAAAGCAACCACTGCCCCAGCAAGCAAGCAAGGAAAAGAGAACCATCTCCCTCCCAACACACCCAATTACAGACTCCCACCATTTGCTGCGGGTGCATGTGGTTGTGTGTGTGTGTTTGACGAAAGTGAAATCAAAGTTGCGGCAAAAATGATTCCCTGGCATGTTTGCGAGAAGAAAAAAGAAGCAACTTTCCAAATAAGTTAGCATTTGAATTGGAATTGGCAAAGGTAAATAAAAGAAATAAATGCTCTACTTAGAAGGAAATTAAATAAGGAAATTACAATTTGTGTCATGAAAATGATTTAATAATAGAAAATGAAAGCTATAACTCAATGGGAATGATATTTATCAGGGGGGAAATAAAGTTAAGTTAAGGTTTTGTATAAATAAATGTTAAATAATTACAAATTTTCTTGTTTGTTTCTTGCTGAAAGAACTAAGAAAGAAATGAGAAGATCTTAACAGTCTTTCAAAGGCCTTGAAACAAACTGACATTTGTTTTTCCTTTTTTAAAATAACATTTTAAATTAGCATTAATGAAAGGCAATTAATAATGATAAATAAACAAGTAATAAGTACTAATTACTAAAACAGCATAAACAGCTATTAAGTTTGAGAGCCCTTTAAGGAGATTGGAAATTCGGAATTAATTAATTTTAGGTTGAAAAAAGCACAGCTGGTTAGGTTAAGGATAAAACGATAAAAAAATAAATTAAAAGAAAATTAAACTTAAAACTTAAAAGAGTGATAAAAAAACAGCCTTAGAAATGACAGATTTAAGAAAACTCCCCTTCAAAAGCTTTCAATTAAAATGAAAATAAAGTGAAAACTGAACATCATCATCAAAATGTTCCCCTAAAAAGAAACCACAAAAAGACAAATTTCTTCACCAAAAAAAATCTTCAAAGGCAAAGCACAAATTCCCAATAAATACTATAAATAGAAATCTATAAACCATATAGTTTTTCCACTAATAAATAAATCAATAAAATAAAAACTAGTTTTACGATTAATATAAGAATATCAAACAGAAACAGGCGAAACCCAAAGAACTATCAATAAAACTGATTGAGCTAAAGTTATTCGCATCAACGGGAATGATTCATCATTCCAGCTTGGCCCTTTCATTAGTCATGGCCTGCAATCTTGGTAATTGCCATTTTTTGTGCAGTGCATGAAATGATTTTGCTATTTCTGTTGTTAGCTTTCCTCCTGCTAACAATCCTGGATTTTTCCCCCTCTAACAGAACTCCCTTTTAGCTCTGGCTAAGTGAATGAAAACGAAACTTTAATTGAAACGAACGTTTGGTGTGCGTTTTTGGGTTAAGTGATTGATTATGTCTTGTTTTGCCATATACGTGCCCATAACTACACTGAGAGAAATTTCTAGAACTAATATATTTAAAGAAAAATATTTATGCTAACTTATCTTGCTTAACTATTATGTTTAGCCTACTTAAAAACACAAAATTTTTGTATAAAATTTCTTATTTTTAAAGTCAAATCACATATTTTCTCTCAGTGTACTTATTCAAGGAAACGCTCAGCGTCGCACACATAAATTTTTGCCTGTCTCCTGCTATTATTTCTGTTATTGTTATGCTGCTTCTGGGCGTGGCAGCCTCCCCCCGAAACGCACACACTTTAGCAGAAATTGGAAAGGCAATGTGACAGACTGACAGACAGGCAGGTGAGGTGTATATGTGTGTGTGTGTCTGCCTAGGGTGGACCCAAACTTTGACAATGCCAGGCGGCTACAATTCATTCAGACAAAAAAAAATACAAAAAAAAAAGTTTGCCACAATAAAAACGAGCCGCGCGCGAAATCGAATCAATAATTTAATGCAGGTGCCTGCCTACGTCAGGTTTACTTTTACTGCCATTTCCCGCAGATATACCCCCTCTCCCCCTCTCCCCTGTATATATCCCACCGATTTCCGCTCACATTTCAGCCGTCGGCCAATGCTTTTGTCATTCTGGCCATTGCCAAGTTTAACGTTGACGTACGTTAATAATAATAATGTCTCCCACCATCGAGAACTCGGCTTGTTTGCCGCTTGTTAAGGATACATTTCCCTCTATAAAGGCAGGGGAAAATCCCTCTCGATTGGCCACTTTTTCCAACTTAATCTGAATGAAAAGTTTGCACTGAAGCTGGAAAAGCTAGGCTCGGTTTTTGGGGGTTATATTACTTGGATTTTTCTATATGTTAAGTGTTTCGTAAATGTGTTTATTTTTTGTAGTTGGTTGGCTTTTTAGTCATTAATTAGCCGGTTTATTGGCATTATTAATCTAAAATAAAAGGGTTTATGGAAAATAAGTTTGTTTTAAGATTTTGTAAGCAAGAACATTAGAATAAATCAATGTTAAACTAGGAAAACTGTCTCTAAGCCAGCAACAGTAACAATAATAGATGCAAGTTAGTTCTTAAAAAATATTCCTAAGCCCTTTTTTTAGTATAAAATATTTTATAATAATCATTTACTAATGAGAAATGTTAACATTCCTAACATTAATAAATGCAAATTCATTTTTAAACATTTTTCCAAGCACATTTTTAATACAAAATATTAGGTTGTCAAAAAAGTCTTGCGGCATAAAATTGGTTACAATAATGCTGATGATTCAAGTAAAATATGCCCCTTCTTGTTCGATGACGCGTTCCCAACGAGATGCCAACTTCATAATGCCCCTCTCATAGAAGCTCGCTTCCCTATTGGCAAAAAACTCGGAGCGTGGCGCATCTTCGACCACCTCGACACCAGAACGAAAACGTTGATACCATCGTTGTGCGGTGGAAATGGAAACTGTATCGGGTCCATAAACAAATTTTATTGGCGGCTTGAGATGCATTTTTGCCTTTATCGTAGTAGAACTGTATGTAAAATATGCCGTATTTTCTCTTTATTTTGCTCCATGATTGCGACGCTATAACTCACAAACGACTTAAAAGAAAATCAAACACGTGTTAGCGCGTGAAATGAGCTTTCCAAAAAGGTATAGTACGACCTGATGCGAGGAATAAAACAAGAACTACTACCAACTAGCGAAAATACCGCAAGACTTTTTTGACAACCTAATATTCCACAAAGTGCATATTGCCATAGAAAAGCATTCTGCTTTGATTTTTACTCTCTGTTTTTAACATTATTCTTATCATTTATCAACAGCAACGATTTTATTGTTTTCCTTTACCAAAAATAAACGCGGAAAACCCCCAGCTTTCCCAACTCAACTTGCTGTTTTCCATTGTGATAATTAAGAACGAAGATCTTTGATTTTTGAAAGTACATGCCCTGATAAGATAACCCCCCTGTGATAACACAAAGACAAACACTCGCTGGCAAGTTTTTAACATCAACACACGCCCATTGATTTTGTAAGATTTTTGTAAGATTTCTTTAACTTTTGTATTGGAATCTTGTTAGATCTTAAAGTTTGATCAAATAAGGGGGGTAAGACTTCTAAGCAGGTCAACGAGCCACAACGTTGTAACACATTGAAAACTTAGCTTACCTAAGCTCAGTGTTTTCCCATGCTAAGCTAAGCAAGCAATCGCATTGTTTTTCCCCCTTAAAAACAGCTGTGTGTAAGTTTTCCCCCACCAACTGCTTGACCACTAATAAAGTTACTAACAAAAGTATATTTAAACAGAAAATATAAAAAATAAATTATTATAGATCACGAAGTTGTATAAATTGTTTTGAAAGCACTTTACTTTACTAGTAATGCATTTGAGATATCCATTCTAGGCCCAAATGCGATGCTAATCAGTTGCCAACGACTGTACAGAAAGATAAAAAAGCAAAAAAAAATGGGGTAATTATGTGTGTTCTAAAGTGCTCAATGATATTGTTAGTAGTTGCGTTTTATGAAACTGTTTAAGTAGCTACACCAAAGGTGACTTCATTCCAGTGGCCGACTTCGGTCAATTCGCGATGGTTAACGTTCGGCTGCGCAGCCTTAGGACGCCCCTGCTCTGCCTTTCGGGCTGCCTGTTCATCTTTCTGTTGGTCAGGCTTATTGGAACCCCCAAAAATCTTCCGAGACTATCATTACTATACGAGAAAGGTGAAGGTTATAAGAAAGGTTATAAAACTTCTATTTAAGAGCTAACTAAACAAGAAACCAATTCCCTTAGCCATTGTCCACCATGGAAATCTCCAGGAACCAGCCACCGATGAGGTGGCGACAAGCATGGATAAAGACGATCTAGAAACCCTTTTACGTGGCAACGAAAACGAAGACTGGGCCCAAGGCAACGAATGTCCTCCCTATCCACGTTACGAAAATATCCACTTCCCAAATCCCTACTACCAACTTATACAGTCTGGTAACCTAAGTTACTACCTATACGGGGCATACTACGATCGCAGGCCAAGAATAGCTGAGGTAATGGTCCTGGGCATGGTGACCACATGCACAGGGCCATATCCTGAGACATATCTGCAAGTGTGGTACGATGGAGATACAAAAGCGGAAATCGTACCAATGCATCAGACCAAACTGGGCTGGTACAAGGAATGGGGCAACTACGTGGATGTGGCATATCCAACATTATTGACATTTCAAATGAAATCAAAAAAGATACCACGGCTGGTTAGCCTGGTCTTTGGAAATCCTTGTGCTTTGCCACAGAATGCCTTGCAAGTGCAAGTACAACCACCACCGGAGTATGAAGAGGCGCCACCCAATCCCAATCGTAGGCCAAGAATCGGTGTTTGTGTTAAGTATCTAAATTTTCCCGATATCGATATGTCCGAGAGATTTGTGGAATGGCTGGAACTGATGAGATTACTGGGTGCCAGCAAAGTGACAGCCTATGATATTGGCAAACTAATGCCGAATACATCAAGAACCTTGGCCCATTACACGAGACCCGAAGATGGTTTATTGGATTTGAGGAAATTTCAATTTCCTGAAGAGACCAAGACCTATGAAAGATTTCGTAGTGTTATTATTGAAGTATTACTGTACAATGACTGCTTGTACCGGAGTCTCTATGATTTCGATTTCATTGCCGTTCTGGATGTAGATGAGGTGATCATGCCATTGGGTCAGCTACGTAACTGGCAAGATTTGCTGGGAGAACTACAGTCGCGGGATGTTAACTGCACGGCAAGAAGTAGCTATTGTTTCCGGAATGTTTATTACCCCAAAGAACTGCCCGAGGATGGCAGCATACCGAAACCCTTCTATATGCTCCGTCATGTCGTTCGAGTGGCCGATCATTTAAATCCCGCCTTGGCCATCAAATGCCTTCATGACATCGGTCATGTCACTGTCTTGCATAATCATTTTGCTCTCCAATGGATGGACTCGTGTGCACCATTCGATGTCCATAGCGATCTTGCCCAAATGCAACACTATCGTCATGTCGATGATCTAAAGACTTTAAAGGAACCGCCACCCGTACGGGATGATAACATCCGACGGCTACAGCAGCAACTCATCCACAATTCCATGCAAGTCCATCGACAGTTGGGCTGGGGAGCAGCATATTGATTATATTTTAATTGCTTTTTCGGTACATTTAAGAGGCTTAAATTGGTGGCCGGGCCGGGCCACGTGTCCGTCTGTCCCGTTACTTTGTACGTGCGCCACCTTTTGACCCCGTAGCCACGTCAGCAGGATAATAATTGCTTATTGACAGTGTCCAGTGTCCAGTGTCCAGTGTCCAGTGTCCATACTCCATACTCCATAGACCAGAATATGTGTGTTGTGGGCAGAAAAGTTTGCTTTTTCCATTTAGCTTAGCCGCATCATGGGGTCATGGGGGTTTCAGGGTCGTGGTATATACATACCAAAGTCCCCATGGGGGGTTATATAATTGATAAGCCATAGATATAGACGGACCAACTCACTATCTCTCTCTCTCCTTTTGGGAGTTCTAAACAGAAAAGTAGGCTAAAGACAGGAACTACCTCTTCCCCTGCTAACTAAGGGTTAAGCTAATTTGCATTTTCTATTCTTTAATTTATTTTTAAAAGTATTTTAAGTTAAGTTTCTATTTCTAAGACTAAAAACTGTTCAGTATTCAAAGGCAGCTTCCTAAAAAGTTAGTAAAATATTAAAAAAATATATAAAAATGAAATATTTAAGCCCCTTAAAACCCATTTCCTTTCCTTTGGTTGACGATACAAATTAATTGAGAGATTCCTTGCTTCCTTTTCAGCTTAATTAAACGGAAATCCTAGTTTTGCAAAATTCAAAATGACAAAAGAAGCCGCACTACAGAATCCACTTCAATTTTCTACCCACCACCCACTTTTTGCATTGGCCAACAAATTAATTTTCCTTTACATTGCAATTTTTGAAGTGGAGCCCAGAAATTTCAGCAGCAGCAGCAGCAGCTTTGGTATTTGAGACTTTTGATTTGGTCATCCGTTGCATTCCATTCAGCAAAAAAAAACAAAAAAAAGAAGAGAAAACGAAAAGCCACAACAATTTCAAAGACTTTTCCTTTTGCCGGCAATGGAAATTGCTTTACATTGCGTATACGCAGAGTGTGTTTTTCACAATGATGGCATTTTCCAACGGGTGACGAACAAGCTTTGGAATTTTCCACAATTTTCAATTGACATAAAGAGAGTTTTGTCAGAGATTTATATATATATAATATATATATGTAATGAATAGCTTTGACAGATCAAAGAAAGGAATTTCTGCAAAGGTGGCTGACAGATTTTTATTCACCACAATTATTGCCTTTAATAAATCTAAAAATTATTTCAAAATCAGAAATCTATAAAGAGAATTTCCATATTTTTTTGGCAATATTTTTTATTGATAAAAATCTCTTTGACGGCATGGAAAGAAGAAAACCAAAAAAAAAGTGGAAATGCCGCTGCGGGATATTTTCTGATTGATTTTATTGACAAACATTTTTTTTTTGTTATCAAAAAACCAAAATTAGTTTTTGCAGTTTTTTAACAAACAAAAAAAAAGAAATGCCTTTTATATTTTTCTTTTCAGATTTTTCTATGACAACTTGACAAGGAAAATTGAGGAATTTCTCATGTATAAAATGAATACATTTTTTTTTATATTTTTCATCCAAAACAAAATTGATAACCAAAAACGCGTATACGCCCTGTGGTTCTTTGGGCATATGGCCTGCAGTTTCCACATATTTTCAATTAGTGCCAATTGAGCCGCCTCGGGAAAATGAAAGATGAAACAAAACCAAGAACAGCATTTAAGCCTGAACTACGCAATGCATTTTCTTTGCTACGCCAACATGGCTTTTCAATTAGATAACTATCAGGTTTTTCCATTTCAAGGATTGATTTCACTTTTCTTCGGGGCGTTGAGGAAAACTAAAAAGTGATATCAAAAAGAGACACCAATAAATTGCTAACAAAAACAGCCAACATTACTTTTCCATTAGTAGGGGGGTGGGTCTTTGAAAAGTGCAAAGTGAACATTTTGAAAGACAAATTATCAATAATAATTATTCAGTTTTTATACCCGTTACTCGTAGAGTTAAAGGGTATACTAGATTCGTTGAAAAGTATGTAACAGGTAGAAGGAAGCGTTTCCGACCCTATAAAGTATATATATTCTTGATCAGGATCAATAGCGAAGTCGATTGAGCCATGTCCGTCTGTCTGTCCGTCCGTCCGTCCATCCATCCGTCCATCCGTCCGTATGAACGCTAAGATCTCAGGAATCTGCTTTAGATACAAAGTTGAGATTAAGCATGAAGGTTCTTGAGGTCCCGGGACAGCGCAAGTTTATATCCTGCCACGCCCACTCTAACGCCCATAAATCGCAAAAACTAAAAACGCTAAAATCTCGGAAACTATTAGAGCTAGAATGTTGAAATTCAGTAGGTATAAACGTTGGATGCCAGCGCATCTTTAAGTGATACTATTATCTGGCCACACCCACTCATATGCCCACCAAGCTCAAAAGGCAGTTTTCGCGTTTTCAAGAAAACCTGATATCTCGGTAACAATAAGTGATAGAAAGCTCGATTTAAACATGTAGATTTTTATGATGCCCCAAATGCGAATTGTTTTTTTTCCATCTAGCCACGCCCACCCTAACGCCCATAAAACCAGGAAAACCAAAAATGCAAAAATCTCGGGAACTAAAAGAGCTAGAAAGTTAGGCTTAAGAATACGTATTTTAGGGATGCTACTGCAACTTCCCACGAGTTTTTATCCGGCCACGCCAACTCTAACGCGTCTATAATAATATTATGAATGCCTTCGCTTGCCGTTGTATAACTTATTTCTGTTAATATCTTTCGATTTACCAAAGATTTTTCAAATCGGAACATTATTTCGCTACTTATGAAGAAATTTAGGTTATAAAGTGACGTCACTATCAGTCGACATACTCGACATGCTTTCTCCGACAATAGGTGGCGCTTGGGTAATTTCCAATAGCAAAATGAATATTTTCAAATTGTGTAAAACAGTAACGGGTATCTTATAGTCGCGGCACTCGACTATAGCATTTCTTCTTGTTTTTTTTTTTATTGAGTTTTCGTTCGAATTTCCACGTGATTAATGAGCAAACATAGCCATATCATTTTCCATTTTCTCTTCTTTTTTTTCTGTGAGATTAATAACAAAGGTAAATAATAACACTTTCAGTTGGGGAAAATGCAACATAGTTTTCGCTCCATAAATTTAAAACTTTGTTTGGGATTTGTGGCTGGCTGGCTCGACGTTGTTGATTCGCTTTAATTAAAATTATTACCAAACGGAATGAAAGTGAAAAGTTTAAAAAGTTTCTCGGCGGGAAGGTTGGAAGATATCTGACCAAACTGCTATCGATGTTCTATGAAAAATCGTTTTGGTTTTCCTCCACATTTCCCTCAACTTCCAAGGGAGTGCTAATATTAACAAAACTATTTATTAAAAATCCACATAATTAACGCAATTTTTCATTAAACAAATGAGGAAGAAAAGGTGCCAGCAAGCTGACAAATGCGCGACAAATTTTTGTTCTTTTCACAAGGCAGGGCAGGGCAGAGTCCCTTTTGAATTTATTATAAGACACACACACACAGACAAAGAGAAGGGCGAGACAGGGGCGTGGCCCTCCCCTCACCAATACACAGGAAAATATTATGGCAAAGTGACAAATTGATGGCAGTCGCCTCCTGCTTCCTGCCTCCTACCTCCTACCCCCTGCAGGCGACGTGTTTTTATGACTGTCTATTCTTGGGCAATATTCCCAAACAATTATCCCGCTAATAATGCATATTAAAATGTAAATGCCTGGTGGCCAGGTGGTAGATGAGGGTGAGGGGTGAAAGGGAGGCGCTACCAAATTCATGGTTCAAATTTATGGCCAACAGCAGATGACAAGGCAGTGAATAATAGAAGATATATATATACAGTGATGGAAAAAATAATAGAAACGATTATTTCTATTTAACTTAAAGGCTTATTTTTTAAGTTTTAGATTTAGGAATATTTATGAAAACCACTGGGTTGGTAACATTGATAACGGTACTTAGTCACAATCTTCTTTTTGAACGCTATTCGTCCGCGGTTTTTGTTATTCATGGAAATTTGTCAGAAGACCTCGTGTTTGAGTTGGAAAAAATAATAGAAACGCGGTCATATTTTGTTAAAATCTGTGGTTATTCTTCGTTTGAATTAAAATAAAAGGTATTGTTTGGAATATTTTTATTACAAGAAGTGCTATTATGGAAATTTGTTTATCATTTTATCATTTAATTTTGTTAAAAGCATTAAAATGGGTCGTGGAGCACATTGCACCGCAGTAGAGAGGATTATAATCCTCAGATTAAGAGCAGAAGGCCAATCCTTGAGGCAAATCGCCGAACTAATGGAATGCTCCAAAAAAAAAGTGTTTTCTGCTATCCACTATTCAGGCAAACAGGAGAAACGTGGCAGAAAGCGAGCCACTTCTACAAAATTTGACTCGATCCTTATACGGAAGTCCAAAAAGGAGCCATTTCTTTCGTCGAAGGATCTTAAAAACTACATGGACACATCCGTAACGAGTCGCACCATTCGCAACAGGCTGATTGAGCACGGTCTGAGAGCGCATTCAGCAAGGAGAGTTCCTTTTATGAGCAAGAGGCATATCGATAAGCGACTCTACTTTGCCAAAAACCAAGAGACCCGCCAGAACTGGAAAAATGTCCTTTGGTCCGACGAGACAAAGATTGATTTGTTTGGATCTGATGGCAGACCCCATGTTAGACGCCCAAAAAACACTGCATTTGATCCGAAATACACCAAAAAGACGATAAAACACGGAGGTGGCAATATAATGCTATGGGGATGTTTCTCGGCTTCAGGTGTTGGTCCACTATTTTGGATACAAGGCAATATGTGTGCTACAGACTATTTAAACATAATGAAGGACGTTATGTTACCATATGCCGAAGATGAAATGCCTTTGAAGTGGGAATTTATGCAGGATAACGATCCCAAACACACATCGAAGATTGCCAAAAAATGGTTCCAGGACAATAAAGTCGACGTTATGGATTGGCCAGCTCAGTCACCCGACTTAAATCCTATTGAGCATTTGTGGGGCATTCTTAAAAAACGTTTAAGTGGTTTTCAGCCAAAAAATAAGGAGCATTTATGGGAGAAAGTCCAGGAGGAGTGGTACTCCATTGAGCCAGCAATATGCTCCAATCTGGTGGAGTCTATGCCTCGTAGGTGTGCCGCAGTTTTAAAAAATCGTGGTAACGCAACAAAATATTAAACGTGAAAACATTTCATGGTTAATTTTGCTAAACTAGTCAATTTGGATGACAATTAGTCAGTTCGTTTCTATTTTTATTTCCAAGTCAAAAACGTAAAATTGAACTTTAATATGATTTTTTAGCTAAATTAATAAGGTTAAATGTATTTTTGTTTTTTAGTATGTAAGCTAGATGTATATAAATCAAAAAAAAAAAAAATATTTACTCATAACCACGTTCCTTATTAAAAATACGTATTTAAGCCCAAAGTGAAAATTCGTTTCTATTATTTTTTCCATCACTGTATATAGGATATATAAGACCCTTCAAGCTGAAGCTTCTGATTATTGCCAGCCATAACTTGGCCCAAAATGAATACCTCGGATGGTTCTCCGAATTATAGCTCCGAAATATTGTTGGCATAAAAATGCAAGAGACCCCTTAAAGAAATTTTCATTTTACACTCGCTTTTGTGTTAATCACATTTTTGAGTTTCTAAATTTCAAGAAAATCTCTGTACTCTTCTTTGGGAAGAATTTTTGGTTCTCTTTTCTAAGAATTCCTTTTTATTTCTTCAGCTTTTTTCTATTATTTAATCAGCCTAAGCCTTAGCACTACTTATTCCTCCTCTCCTTCAAACTTAATAACCTATTTTCAAGCTAAAAACATCTCCGCCTTCTCCGTAGCCTAAATCATTTAGCATTGTTTTCCTTTGAAAACACATTTAAACTCAGCCCTCAGCAGTCCTTGGTTTCTACTTCCTTTCGAAGGATATCATTGTATTGGCTGACTTCCGTTAATGGGCCAAACTTTGGCCCAAAACATCATCATCTTGGCCAACAGTCACGCGCCCATTTCGCAGGCAGCGATATAATTCGAGACGCGTCGCTCGCCTGCCTCTGCCTGGCCCTTGAACTGAGTTTTCAACTTGGTTTTGGACTTCTTTTTTTTTGGCCCTGGATATATAGTATTTCATAAATTTAATTGTCACGTACTCACATGGATCTGAGCGTGGGCTTGGTATGGCATATAATACGTGTTTATAACTTGGTAGCGCGATTTAGGCCATAAACGTGTGCTCCGTGACCTACGTGGCGTATACGTAACATTCTGAGGGGCTAAATGATTTATTTACTGTATTTATTTAATCTATTTGATGACCCTTAACCTCTGATCCTCTAGCTAAATGGCAGCGTTAACTTATACGCAGCTTTTTAGTCCGAATTTAAGTTCCAAAAAATAGAAGAAAAATATAATCAAAAACCTTCCCTCTCGTTTAACCAAAGCTATTTCCTCGATATATATTTAGTTCCTCCTCCTTTTAACACCCAAACAATTGCAGTTGCTTTTCAGTTCAGTTTCCTTTTGGAAAATATGGTATGTCGTTTCTAAGCAGCAAGTGCTGCACTCGAATGTGACACGCATCAAATCACTTTACTCGAGTGCACACTTAATGTCGCTTCAAATGAGCGCAGCTGAGCACTAATACATATGCTAAGGGAATGCCGGATAAGGGGATGTGGGGATGTGCGGATGCGGATGTATATATGCGGACATGGATTGATTGTGCAGAAGAAGAAAAAGAAATTCCAAGTTAAATGCAAGCGAAACGTGTCAAGTTTGATGGCAGTCACTCGGCATAAGCTATTTGCCAGTCATCAACAGTTGTTGAGTTTTTAAGGCAGAAAATCATTTAAGATTTAAGTACAAAAAATCAGAAAATAAGAAAGTTCAAATGATTAAAATTGTGTTTTCAAGTTTAAATGATATTAAAATCTTAGAAAAATATAAGAAAAGGAAACTTGAAGGCAACATTTTTTTCAATCTTCCTCAAGAGTAAAGTTTATATTTCTAAAATATTTCTTTAAAAATTAAATAAAATTACCAAACTTTCTCAAACTATAATGAGCAATAGCAATAGCAATTTGTTTCTGGAAAATCATCATAGAATTTATGACTGGCAATTTGCCCAAATTGGTCGTGAAATCATTCAGAATCATGAAAATCAGTCAAGTTAATGCCGCCACATCAAACTTCAATGGACATCGCCGGGCTATATGGTCATAATATTTAACTGATTTCAGTGCCTTGGGTTTGGGTTTCAGTTTGAGTTTGAGTTTGAGTTTATATTCGGCATATTGTAATTAAAATGGACGCCCCAGTTTGGGCCAAAAGTTTCGCAATAAAAATCCAGTTAATAAACTTTGCATTCCAGCTCCCCCCCCCCACAGATACAGAAAGTCATACATATATATATCTTTATATACATATATATAAACGAACTGATAAATAATGTTAAGAAATGTTCGCTCTGTTTTTTGGGGATTTTAATTAAATCGTTTGCCAGCGGAGAAACAGAGAAAAAAAAAAGTATGAAAAAAAAGGGGGGAAAAATGAGAAAGGAAATAAAGTAAAATGAAAACCGAATTGAAAGTTTATGTCAGCGAAAAATGGCGGTTCTATCTGTGTCTGTGTGTCTGTATCGTTATGCGTATGCGTATGTGTGTGTGTGTGTTTTTGTGCTGCTGTATTAGTACGAGTGTGCTAGTGTGAGTGCGCAACCCGACGTCAAATATGTTTGAACAACTTTATTATGCAAAATGCCAAACATTCTCCAACTTGTAGACGTGGCGCTCTCGCTCGCTTCCCTTTCCCTTCCGCTTTCTCAGTTTCAGTGTGTGTGTGAGTGTGTGTGTGTGTTTGAGTGTGTGGGTGAGTAGATTGCTGTGCGCGCAAATCTCATTTGAATTATAATGATGACGCCACGCACACACACCCACACACACACACACACGGGGCAAGCAAAATAAAATAAAAAAAAAAGAAAGAGGAAAAAAAAACTGAAGTTTGTTCCCTAAAAGGGTTGTTTGCATATTCGAATGGGATATATCCTTGGGAAATTCAAAGGATTTTCTGTTATATGGAAATTTAATAGGTGGTAAGACTTCATGCCTTCTACATTTTTACAACTTTTGCTATGATTTTCGTTCAAGGGAATTAATTTATCATAAAAAATGGTATTAAAAATTAAGTCAGTATACCATATTAAAGTATTCAATACACTTTTTTTAACACAACTTTAATAAAAGCCTTTAAAAATGTATTTTTTTTACTTTCATAAATAACCCAACATGATTTCTGATCAATTTTTATGTTTTTTAAATCAAAAAACTAAAAAAAAAATTCAAGTTCTTCATTATAAAAAATGAATATTATAATTTTCAATTTCTAGTTTTATGGGAAAATAAACCAAAAGTACATTTTTTTTGGTATTTAAATACTAAAAATGATTCCCAATTATACATTCTGCCTTTCAGATATAATATTGTATATAATTCCCTAACTGATCCTCACAAAATATACATTTTAGTATATTTATATTTGTAGATTTTTTTAATTTTTAGTATTTTTTTAGTATTTTTAGTATTTTTTTAAGTATTTTTTTTAGTATATTATTTATCACGTTTAGCACATCCCATGGAACCTGCTGGACTAAGCAGTAGCAATCCCCATCCCCATCCCATTCCCATTCCCGCTTTTGGTCATAATACCCATGAAATGTACCCAACGCCTACCTTGCATATATAGCATATATATAAAGAATATATACTATATAACATATATAGCATATATTATATAGCAGGACGTAGGACATACCTGAGCAAGCTTGCGGTGGCAGCGGGAATATCAGCGTCGTGGAACTCTTGCGCCTGGCCACCGCGCAGCCCAAGGATTGCGGCTTGAAGCTTCGCAGCTGCTGCATGAAATCGGAGCACTCCATTAGGGCCACGTCCGCGAAATGCAGGTCGCACAGTATCTGGTTCTGTAGGATATGTAAGAAAACGAACAGAAAATGAAAAACATTACAGAGTTGGCCTGTTGGATTTTCCCTGGCCCCGTAAATGATTTATTTGGGTTTGTATTTTGGGTATACACCCTCCTCCCCAGGTCCACAGTACGCCGCCGCCCCCCTTTCATATGTAATTTTGATTAAGCCACTTGCCGCATGCCACATGCATCCGTCATCCGTAATGAGTTCACCTTTATGGGGGCCAAAATGGGCGAATGCATTTCAGATGAGTTGATGGTTGGCTGGCCAAAAGCCGGCAAATAAATACGGAGGAGTGTGCCTTGCAAATTGGCAATTATTTTGGTTTTTCTTTTATTATTATTTTTCCAGCCTTACACACCCTTAAAGATATTTTAAACTGATTTTTAAATCCAGAAGAAAGAAGAGAGATTTTTGAGAGTGCTTTTCTTAACTTCTTAACTTAAGTTGCAGGCCAAAATGAAAACCCATTCAACAACAACACTCATTAAGTATTTATTCGCCAGAATCACAATGACACACACACAGAAACTCAGGAAAACAAAAAGAAAGAAAAGAAAATATGAAAATGTCAAAGCTCTCCTTTTTTCTTATTGCAATTAATTTTGGATGAGACCCTTTCACATGACATGAGGAAAATGAATGTGAAAATAAGAGTTGCCTGCAGGGCTGTCCAGGATTTGTTTTTTGGCAGATCAGAAGAGCTTTTAGTACTTTTGAATAATTTTTCAGTAAGAGAAATATTAATTAAAATGAAACCTGAGTGGAAAGAGTTTAATATAATATATAAAATATTTTTAAATTACTTTTACTATTATTAAGAAAAGTTCCTGACAGTTTTTTGTTACTAATAAAGTAAGATGATTCTAGAAAATATTTTATAAAGATTTTTATAACACTTTTACCTATGAAAAATATCCCTTAAATTACCTTTTAACTTTCCTTATCTATAAATTTCCCCTTCCAACTCACCTTAAACCTTCTGGCCCTCTTCTGGTTGGGCCCCGTCAAGTTCAGGCCGCAGGAATTGCAGCGCAGGCACTCCTCATGATAGTGGTTGTTGTCATAGAGCGGCGATGGTTCTGCAATTTGAAAGAGGAAAAAAAAGAGTCAGTTTTAGCGGGGAAATCAATTCATCAGATCAGGCTGGAAATATGAAAACCCTGTAAAACCCCAAAACCCCATCTGGCACTGGGCCATTAATTTGCATAACCAAACCAACATAAATGTGGTGGATTTTAGTATTCAGATTTCAGAGGACAGAGGTTGAATGGTAACCCATTACTTCACAGCATACCACACATGCACCAGCTGGCTGTCTGACTGGCTGACTGGCAGCAGCAGCGACTCAATTACAAACGGAAATGAGTTTCTAATACAAGCAAATTGCAAAAGGATAGCAGATATCCCTGTAAAATGGGGCCAAATTGTTGCTCTCTACCAAGTTGATGAATGGCTGTTGATGGTTTCGCCTCGCCCATGTCCATACCCTAAGCCCATGTTGCAAGTTTCTAGTTTCTTAGACAAGTTTCGAGGCCAATCATAATCCATCTGGTCTCAGTCCCAGCTGATGACTGAAACTTATCATCAGGCAATTTTCTTTAGCAGTTGAAAGTGATGGGAAAATGTGGTTTTAATCTTCTAAAGGTTTTCAACTATTTGCTGTTCTTTAAAGTAAATTTGTTGTACCTCAAATTCCTGTTCTTTTTCAGCTAGCTGTCAGGCAGGACGGACCTTGCCATCAAGTAGCTGCTGTAATAATGAGCACGTGTGCCTGGCTCACTCATCCTTTCTGGCAGGACTCCTACTACTCGCCGGTTCGGCACTCAGTTCGCCTCGACACCGGAAATCATAATTAAATGAATCAGGCAAGCGGAAACACATTATGAGAGTTCCAAGAGGGGGCGGGGCGGCGAGAGTGGCGAGAAAACGACCATCGCTGTCATCATCATCATCAACTCACATTCTAGGGCAATCAACGAATGTGATTCGCATGTTATTAGCTGTCCCAAAAAGTCTTAACACTTTTTATTGGTCTCCTTTCAATCGAATCATTATTTTACGAGAGTTCATTTCATAACACTGTTGCACTGGGCGTATACTTAATATTATTCAATTAACTACCAAAGGGCAATGGGGGAAAGAAGGTAAAATCTTTGTGACAATGTTATTAATGGAATCATTTGTGGAAAGCGAAAAACAGAGCCGTTGTATGTTGAAATACTTGGCGGATTTTCCTGATTTTGCTGAAGGGTGGGTTTTGCCTACGATATACCCTCAAAAAACCTCTTTAAAATCTTTTATAAAAAGGCAGAAGAGGAAATCCCATTCATAATTCCCTCGATTAATTTCCCTGAACTTGAATTACTTTGCCACCCCCCTTTGAATTTTCCCCAGCTTTCGATACAATTGAGGCGCCAGGAAGAGAAGTCCACCGCCCGCCCGCATATCCAAAATCATTTGCACATTCGTATCCAGAAAATTTTGGCCAGGAATTCCTGGCCATATCTGCCCGAATGCGGGCCAAAACTTTACGCATATTTTTGCATTAATGAACCGAAAGTCCCTTCTCTCTGACATTTGCATTTGCATTTGCAATCGATGGCGGAAGCAACGGACCTGCGGGGCAGCAAAAACCAAACCAGACACAGTCCTAGGGTAGTAGTCCTACCTAATTGGTCTGCTGGCCAAAAACTAAGCTGGCCAAACTAATGCAATGAATGTCGAGTTAGATCCAGAGAATGAAAAAAAAAAAAAAAAAAAAAACAAGGCAGTGGGTGTGGCTGTGGATCTGAACTGGCGTTTCATTGCTGCAATCTGCAGACGAAAATCTGCCGCAAATTGCATTGTCAAGTGCAGGACGAGCGACCGAAATGAGCAACACAAATGGCCAGGAACGGGATGGTCAGAGGACACTCAAAAGGGCTGTCATTCGGTTGGGTACAGGTCATGGACATAGCTCACCTGAAAAGCACACTGAGAGAAAAGTTTTAGAAATTTTGTAATGGAAAATACTAAAAGTAATTCTTAAAAACATTGAAAAAGAAAAGAAAATAACCTTTTTAAGACATTTAATCTAAGTTTACTAAAAAAAACAAATTCCCTTCTACGAGGTGTGTTCAAAAAGTAAGGTGACTCTTCAAATTTCGCGAATTTCAAATTTTTCGATTATCGAAACCTTTTAGAAGTTATACGAGGTGTGTTCAAAAAGTAAGGTGACTTTTCAAATTTCAAATTTTTCAAATTTTTCGATTATCTTCAGTTTTGGGAACAAGAAAAAGTCACATGGGGCCAAATCCGGTGAATATGGTGGCTGAGGCATTATTGTGGTGTTGTTTTTGGCCAAAAAATCCAAATCCTTTGATCCATATTTTTCGATAGCAAAAAATCGCCGAGCTCGCAAAATAACTTGTAACTTTACGCCTCTCACAACCAAACAAAAGAGGATGTTCCATTGAAACTTGGTACAGATGTTAGGGAAGAGTGTACCAATATAACAAAACAAAAAAATCGATAATCGAAAAATTTGAAATTCGCGAAATTTGAAGAGTCACCTTACTTTTTGAACACACCTCGTACATCTCCCTGTGCACAGCTTAACACTTAACTCCCTTTCCTCCCCCTCCCAAAAATAGCATCCTTCCATTCGACCCTCGATTGTTTGAGTTTAATGGACCATTAAAATGGGAAAAACTATTTACGCTGCTGGCGAATTTTAAACAGAAGCGCGCTACAAATTTGACTAATTGAAAGACGACAAAATGGGCGCCCATCTTAGCCATCCTCTTACTCTAAGAGGGCGGGTTAGGGGGCTGCTGCTCTTCATATTTTATTGCTCTGCCTTAAGTTGACTTTAGTCAAGTTGAGTTGACTTGACTTAACTTGACTTGGCTTGGCTTGGCTTGACTTTACCCAACGACTGGGCGCTTCCTTCTTTTCCCATTTGCTTTTATGACAGCTGCCGCATTGAAAACTTTGCATCTGCACTTTGCAGCTGCCGAGAGGGGCGGATGGGCGTGGTAGCGGGATATATATATGAATATATATATATATATATATATAATATAAATTCATGACTTTGATAAATTACCAACTAATGACCCAAAAGAATGGCAAAACTTCTGGTTTTTAGTGCAGAAATCAAGCGTTAACTTTTCGAGAGGGTGGAAGGGTGAAGGAGGTGGCTATGAAAAGAAGAAGAGGCGGAAAGGGGGGTTTGGCATTCCAAATTTGGCTTTTATTGTATGCCCAGCTTTTCGGGGGCCAGTACAAAACAATAGCTGCTTAATGGCTCGTGACAGGCTCTCTTGGCCGTCTTTAACAGCAGCGGTCGGAAAAATAGATTCAGAAGAGTCAAAAGCTTAAAGGAAATATAATTTAAGAGATTAAATATTAAACAAATTATAAAAAATAATAAGAAAAATGTTATAAAAATAAATTAAATTGATTTTTTTTTAAATTATTATTTTTAGTTTAATATTTTTTATAGTTTTAACCCTAAAAATTGTATACTTTTCCTAATGATTATGAGTTTTTTAAGGAGTTTTTCTTTTCCCCCAACCCCTTCTATTCTTATATCATAGCCCCTAGCAAAGAGTCTGTGGGCGTGGCTGTTGTCAAACAAAGCCAACCGACTGAGTAGCAGAAATTGACTGCAAATGCAATTTGTTTAGGGAAATACTTGCATCTAAGTAGCTTTCGCTAAGGGATAAAATACGAGGGTAGAAAGGGTGGAAAAGACAAGGAAAACCTAGTGGAAAACTAAGAGGGGGAAAAATAGCTATTTGGGGATGGGTGGAGGGGTGTGGAGGATGTGCAGCAGCTTAATTGAGCGTAAATAATATTGGACTAGGGTTAGTAGTAGTACCAGTACCAGGACATGAGCAGCCACGGATGCAGCACAGAAACCAGTCAACTTCACTGCACTTTCATTAAAATTACTCAAGCGGAGGAGGATGGGTAGAGAAAATGGCTGGAAAATGAGGCGGAAGGTGGGGTGTTTAAATTTGCCTGTTGCTGCCAGTGCAATGGCCCTTTGGCAGGCAGGGAAACCCTTCGATGCAACTGTACTAATCAATTTTCTCAACTTTTCGCTGAAACACAAAACTAATTCCCCACAAAATTCAAAACCAATTTAGAATGCGCTTATCTAATGAGGAAAATTCAAGGGAATTTCCTTTAAAGGAAGACTATAAACTGTTAGAGGTTGACTAGGAAAGTTTAAGAAGAAGTTTGAGCTAAGGAAAGCTCTAAGAAAGTAAGAAAAATCATCTTCTCACTCTGCTTAACTCTTAAAAATTATTAGAAATTCAAATTAAGAACAATTCTAACTAATTTAACTACAATTATGAAAGTTTTTCAGTTTTTCATTTTAATAGGCCTGCAATTTACGCCAACATTTGAAACTTTTTGAAAAGTCATTGAGAACCCAGCAAGTTAAAGGAAAATTCTACATAATTTCTATATTCCGGGAAAGCCTCTCCTTTAGGCCTCATCGAATATTTATAATGCCCAGCCCCCCCCAAGTTCCGTGGAAACTATAACCGTTTAAAAGGCAACAATTAGGCTATTTAAACCAAGCCATCGATCTTGGTCTTGGTCGACCGTTGGCCAGCACATTTTGGCCAATTATCGGCGTTGGCCAAGTCGTGTTATTAGCCGTTAGTCCGTCGTGTGTGTGTGTGAGAAACCGCAGCTAGGTTTGCATGTCAGCCAACCGTTTTGTCGCATTTTGCTGATTAGTGCAGCAGTGCAATTAAATTGAAGCATATCATTTGTCCCTCCCCCTTTCGTACTCCCCCGCCCCCCGTCTCTCTAATATGCAGCCGCATTGTCACACGGTGGCTTACCCAAAGCGGGGTCATGCCGGGTCACCCAGGGGGGTCACCAAGGGGTCACACGACTGTTGTACGTGCGTATTTATGGGTCAACTGGGACCAAAAGTAACCACCCTTCCTCCCCTTACAATTGCTACTTTCTAACACACATGCGATGTGCAAGGACCTCTCACCCTTGGAAAAAATACAAAAAAAGGAAAAAAGAAAATAGAGAAAAGTGCAGCATTAGCGTGACTTTTTTACGA